GTCGGAGAGCTCGAGGCGCCAGAGATGAATGGGGCCCTCTGCGAGGCCCCCTTGGCCTCCGCGGGAATCCTGGAGACACCTTTCAGGGACACGAGCAGTAACAGAACCAAGCATGAGAACTCGGGGGTCTGCGCGAATTCCCCGGATCGGCGCTGGGGCGCCGTGGCGGCGCCTCCAGCGCCACCCCTGGCGCGCTCCGCGCGCCAGGGAGGGGGGTCCAGCGCCGATCCGAGAACTCCGCGCGGACCTCAGAGTTGTTCTGTTTATGTAATCGTTGGTTCCTTTCGACTTTCTTGAGACACGGGCCCCCATCCTCTTGACCACTGACTTCCCCAGGGGGCCGGTTTTTCATCCCGAATCGTTCATTGAGGCCGAAAACGATGCAAACCCTTCGTCTCCGCTTTTTCGAGACGCCGGATGTCTGGGTTGGGCCACGTACGCCTTTGGCAGCACCCGTCCTTCGGCGGAGAGTTGGGCCACGGTGGTGCTGGGGCACTCGGTGTTGCGCTGGCTGGGCACGCCATTGCTGCTCTTCGGGTCGGGCCGGGCGCCCCAGGGCGGCGGGGGCGAGGAGCTCCCGTACACGCTGCCGGAGGGGGTCCCGCTCTCCGGCTACCTCATCCGCAAGGCTCGGGGATCTGGAGGGTTGGAAGGGGTACGAAGGCCGACAGCAGGCCGACAGCAGCTCCTGCCCATTTTGAACAGGACTCGCTGTCGGCGTCGCCGCGGGCGTTGTCCGTTTGAGACAGGAGGCCACCTGCCCAACAGCGGCCATTGCCGGTTTGGGACAACACATGCTGTCGGGCATCGTGGCCATCCTTTCCGTGAGTCCCATTTCGTCGGTGCCGGCAAACGCAAATGCTCAGGGGTCCGCGCGGACCTCTTGGGTCGACGCTGGACCCCCAGGGGCGGCGCCTCCGGCGCCGTCCCCGGCGCGATCCGCGCGCTAGGGATGGGGGTCCAGCGCCGATCCGAGAGATCCACATGCAACCTCCAGAGGTGTATGTCCAAACTTTTGGCTCTTCGTCTGAAGGTGCTGCTCACGCGGGAAGTGCTGGAGGATCGGGGGCGCCGACGGAGGGGGGGACTGGCCCGGGGGGAGAACATCGAACCCCAAGCGGGAATGGCACAGTGATGTGCCCTTTGTGCCCCCATAGCCTTCGTGCACCAAGGCCAGCGACCCCCATGGCCTTCGTGACCCCCCCCACGCAGTAGCACACGTTTTCGCGATCGATGGCCTATCGCTGAACTATCGGCGATGCATCGCCGATTCGACGTAAATTATTCCCGACATGAAATTATTGACGCTTCGCGTTTCCCCACCGGCTCATCCAGAAACAGATCGCCCGGCGAGTTGCCTTGAACAGGGAAGTGTAGAAGCGTGCAGCGGAGCAACCATATTGAGTGTTTTTCGGGGGCGCTGAAACGGTGGGAGCATGCGTTGAATTATGTAACGAATATTTCCATGGAGCGGCGGTTTCAGTGGGGTCTGCTGGGGTCCCTCTGGGAGTTATCTTGAAAACCCTCTCGGGGCGGGGAGATTATCTTTGGCAACGGGAGGAGGAAGGAGGAAAGGAGAACGGGAGGAGGAAAGGAAGAAGAGGATGGACCAGTATATGGATGGGGGAGAAAGAAGAAGACGACGATGAAGGCGACGACGACAACGACGAGTCAACCATGAAACCGTCGCTGTCGCGGAACTGTCGCTCCGCGAGCCTCTTGGAAGCTAATTGAAAGTTTTGTTTTGCAAAGACCCGGCAAAGACCCTTGCAACGACCCTACAAAGGCCTTGCAATGACACTCTAAAGACCTTGCAAAGACCCTGCAATGTTCGAGCCATTTTGAGGCCTCGGAAGGCCATCTGAAGCAAAAAGGCGACATTGTGCTTTGCCTCTTAAGCCCTTTTCGGATGTATTTTGGGGCGTCTTGGGGCTCCTTGGGGGGGTCTGGGACGTCTCTTTGGGCGATCTTGGGCCCCTTTGCTCAGAAAGGAGAGTGCCCTCAAGTGCCTTCGGAAGCTCCCTAAGGCGCTCTTGGGGCCCCTTGGGGGCCCTCTTGGGCCCCTCTTGGGGCTCTTTTGGGCCGTCTTGGGGCCTTCTTGAGGCTTCACAAGCCCGTCGGAAGCGAAAAGGCGCGAGAAAAAAAAGTTCCCTTAGATTTTTCAAGGGGCCTATTTGGGGGGGGGGGGGGGCCTTTGGAGAGGGGCCCTTGGAACCGTTTGAGAGCTGTCTTGGGGCTTCTTGGAGGTATGTAGGAGGCTATATTTGGGCCATTTTGTTATCTTGATCAATCTTGGAGGCCATCTTGGGGTCTCCGAGGCCATCGTGGAGCCATCTTGGGCGACTGTCCGCGCCCCCCCAAGCCCAGGGCAGGGGGTGGGGAAAGGGGTAAACCCCTCCCCCGAGCAGGGGGGCGGGGGGTCTTTGGCAGAGAAGACAAAGTTCGTCTAACTACCTACGCCCAGAGGGCTGGTGGGACTGCCCAGGGACGTCGTCTCCAACCCTTTGCAAACATGAGGCAGCCTTACATAGGACCGCTCAATACAACAGGAAGCACTGAAGAACTCACCGTACCCTTGAACCCTTCGCCAAAGCACATCGGACCGCACTCGAATGTTCCCCATTTTGGCACCTTTTTTGCTACTAGAATGATTGGCAGGGAGGCGACCAGGAGCAGACGAAGGACAAATAACGACCGGAGAAGGGAAAACTGGAGAAATGAGTTGTGGGAGTGATAGCACAGCGCGCTACAATCGCGTTGCAGAACGGCACTGTGCGCGCTACAGCAGAACAGCGCCCCGCAATAAGCGCTGCAAATGTCTGATCGCATTACGGTCGAGGGGCAGCCGAAGAGGGGATGCGGCACGGACACAGGACAGCGCCATGCCTTGTGCGGCGCCCCATCGCGCTGCGATCTGCGATCTAACAGCGTCGCGCGCCATGTGACGGGTCAGCGCCGCGCGCTCTGTGAGCTCCTGCTTTTCTAGATGGAACTGGTCGCCGCCAGTCGCAGGCGCCGCCGCCTGGTGATGACGCACAGAAGCGAGGTTGCAACCGCTGGCGGGCGCCGCCTTCAGTCATTCAGGAGCTTCGCGAGGCCGTGTTCGCGCGCCAATGTTGCAGCCTCACTCCTGCAGCAACGCTCCGTGCGGGCGCCGAAGGTCCGGAGGCGCGCAGCCATGTCGGCCAGCAGCCTTCGATCATCACCCGTCCATATCGTCGGCATCCGTATGCCCAGCGTCGACGATCACGCCCTCGTGCACGGTCCGGCCCGGCCCTGGCCAGCGCTCGACGTGAGTACGTGGCGTGGGAGAGTTGCAGGCCTATCCGCATCATTCCGTGCTTGCGGAATCGAAGGGGCTCGATGTCCGCGGCCCGCTAAAGACGAACCGCCCTGCGCCCGAGACGTCGACCCCCTCCGCGTGCTCTGCCAGCCCGTCGCAGCCCCCAGAGACGGCTCGGTCTCATTCTAATCTGCGTAGGACGCGACTCCGATGGGGGCCCCAGGAGCCCACAAAAGGCACGACGGTTCCGCAGCTCGCGGCCCCCCGGGACAGCGAGGTCCCATTCTGATTTCCATAGGACGTCATTGTGCTGCCCCCCCAGGGCCCACCAGCGCGGCGACAGTTTCGCAGTTGGCAGCCCCCCGAGACGTCGCGGTTTCTTTTTGAATTCGGTACGACGTTACTCTGCAGGGCCTGGAGCCCACGATAGTGGCGACAGTTTCGCAGTTCGCGTCCCCCAGGGACGGCGAGGTTTCATTCGGATCGCCGTAGAAAGTCATTGCGTTGGACCCCCCAGGAGCCCACGGAAGTGGCGACCGTTTCGCAATTCGCAACTGCTAGGGACAGCGAGGTCTCATTCTGAGATGCGCGGGACGTAACTCTGCAGGGCCCCACAGGGATCCACGAAAATGGCAACAGCTTCGCAATTGCATCCCCCCGGACGGCCAGGTCTCATTCTGATCTGCACAGGACCTCACTTCGCAGGGTCTCCCAGGGGTTCACGAAAGTGGCAACAGTTTTGCAGATCGTAGCCCCGCATGGACGTCAAGGTCCCATGGCTTGCGTAGGCCACCACGCCGCTGGGCCTTCCACGGGCCGTCGAAATTGGCGACAGTTTCGCAGATCGCGAGCCCCCAGGGACGGCGAGGTCGTATGGTGGTTTGCGTGGGATTGCGCAGGACTTCCCAGAAGCCCACGAAAGTGGCGAAAGATCCGCACATCGCAACCCCCCAGGGACGGCGAGGTCTCATGATGGCTTGCGTAGGACGCCCATCCGCTTGAACTCCCAGAGGCTAAGGAAAGCGGTGACAGTTTTGCAGATCGCAGCCCGCCCAGGGACGGCGAGGTCGTATGGCGGTTTGCGTGGGGCACACGAAAATGGCGGCAGTTCGGTTGATCGCAGCCCCCCAGGGAGGGCGAGGTCTCATGGTGCTATGCGTGGGACACCGTTCCGCTGGACCCCCCACGGGCACACGACAGCGGTGCCAGCGCCACAGATTGCAGCCACCCAGGGACGGCCAGGTTCCAGAGTTGTCGGCGTGAGACACCACTCCGCTGGACCACCCTGAAACCCACTAGAGTGGCGACAGTTACGCACATCGCAGCCCCTCCCAGGGACGGCGAGGTCTGATGGTGGCCTGCGTGGGACACCCATCCGCTGGACCCCCCCGAAGCCAAGAAAAGTGATAACAGTTTTGCATATGGCAGCCCTCCCAGGGACGGCGAGGTCTCATAGTGGTCTGCGTAGAGCACCATTCCGCTGGACCCTCAGGGGCCCAAGACAATAACGATAGCTTCGCAGATCGCAGCCCCCCAGGGACTGCCAGGTCTCATGGTGATTTGCGTGGGACACGTACTTCGCTGGAGTTCCCAGGAGCCCACGAAAGTGGCGACGGGCTCCCTCATCGCAGCCAACCCATGGACGGCGAGGTCTCATGGTGGCTTGCGTGTGACACCACTCCGCTCCGCTGGACCTCCCAGGGGCCATCAAAGGGGTGACAGGTTCGCAGATCGCAGCCCCCTACGTACGGCGGGGGTGCATGGTGATCGGCGCGCGACAATACGCTGCTGGACCTCCCGCGGGCCCACGAAAATGGCGACGGCTTCGCAGATCGCCGCCCGCCAATGGACGGCGAGGTCTCATGGTGGCCTGCGTGGGACACCAGTCCGTTTGATTTCCCACGAACCCACGACAGCGGTGACAGTTTCGCACATCGCAGCCCCCCAGGGACCTCCCAGAAGCTCACGAAAGTGGCGACAGTTCCGCAGATCGCAGCCCCGGCGGCCAGGTCTCATGGTGGTCCGCGCGAGACACCATTCCGCTGGACCCCCCACGGGCCCACGACAGCGGTGACAGTCTCGCAGGTCGCAGCCCCCTAGGGACGGCGATGCCTCACGGTGGCCTGCGCGGGACACCATTGCTCGCAGATCGCAGTTCCCCAATGGCGGCGAGATCCAATGATGGACACCAGTCCGCTGGACCCCCCCCCGAGGACCACGAAAATGGCGACAGTTCGGCTGATCGCAGCCCCCTAGGGAGGGCGAAGTCTCATGGCGGTTTGCGTGGACACCACTCCGCTGGACCTCCCAGGGCCCGCTAAGACGGCGACAGTTTCGCAGATCGCAGCCGGGACGACATCACAGGAGCCCACGAAAGTTGCGACAGCTCCACAGATCGCAGCCCGCCATGCATGGCGAGGTCTCATGGTGGTTTGCGTGGGACACCACTCCAAGGGGGCTTGCCACGGGCCCACGTAAAGGGGCGACTGATCGCAATTCGCAGCCCCCCAAGCAAGGCTAGCAGCAGGAAGAAGAGAAGGGAGAAAGCTGTTGGAGGCGAAGGAGGAGCATGAGCAGGAGCACGACGGAGGAGGAGGAGGAGGAAGGAGGAGGAAGAAGGAAGGATGGAAAGACGGAGACCACAGTGCTTTATTCAAAACACCCATCAAAGGGACAGCTTGAAAACAACATTGAACATGTTAGCCAGCGCGGGCCCAAAGCAGCATGTTTCTAACAGCATACGCTGTGCAATCTTGGTGGGGTAATGTGTGGTGCAATCTACGCTGTGCAATGCTGTGCAATATATGTGGTGCGCGATAAGGTATGTCATCTGTGTGGTGCTGACTATGCGGTGCAATTGATTTTGTTCGCAATGAATTGTCAATTCCATTACTCGCGCAATCATCCCATCCGCGCAATCATCCCACCCACCCACCCGCAACATGGTATGCAAAACGCATGCGGCGGCGATTGCGGTGACTGCTTGACGCTGGCTGGCGCATCGCCGCGGCCGCGCTAGCGCGCGCAGGCTCGCGCGCACAGCAGCCAGCTAGTCTGGCGCGACCGACGCGGCCGCAGTGGCGTTGACCGCTGGGGACTTCGCGGCGCGTTTCGCAGGCCGCGCTGACGCGGGCACCTCGGCGCGTGTCGGTGACTCGGGCGGGCGCGGTGCCATGGCGACGTCGACAACGGCAGAAACGATGATGAGATTGGCGATGCTTGTGGCGGCGATGACGATGACGACTGCGCTGGTGCTGATCGCGCCGACGACGATGATTGTATCCACGCGTCAGCGATGGAATTGCTAGACGTTTTTCGACGTTCGCGCGCGGCCGACGGGCGCGGGTGGTCCGCAGCGTATTTTTTGACAGGCATCGTGCCCCCTTCCCCAGCAAGCGCGCAAGGGCGTTCGAATGGTTTCGACATGCGCGCGCGAGAGACCCGCTTGGTCGCACGTATGCAAATATGTCTTGTTTTCTAAGAAAGAAAGACCATGGTTTGCGTGAGCTGTCGCAAGAGCGCGCGCCCAGACCTTCTTGAAACACAGTGGTGCAAAACCATAGGTTCTTTATATGTTTATATGTGCGTGGGAACCTCGATCTGGAAACCCGTACAAAACCCGAGTGTTCTGATAATTGCGACATGCGCGCGCGACGCCGCGCGCGTATGGATTTTGTCACATATGTTGCAAGGGGTTTCTGAACACATACGAATTTTGATAAGCGAGCGTGCGCCCACAGTAGTATTTGTCAAGGATGCGATGAGGGGAAAGGGAGGGCATATCCGCCTGGTTGAGATGGTATGAATCTTCGGGAGGGGAATCTTTGAAACAAGAGGATGATGGGGCAATCTCCCATGTAACTTGCACATCCCCCCGATAGAATAAGAACCTTGGAGGGAGAGGGAGATCCGAATTCGCTTTAGAAGAGAAAATATACGTGGTGCGATCTAGGCGGCGACGGGGCGGCGACGAGGCGGCGACAGCAAGCACGTAGCCGCCAGACGGGCTCGCAGGTCCAGGCGGCGACGGCGAGCACGGAACCGCCAGACCGGCCAGCAGGCCCAGTTCCTTGGAAGAGACATGCGAATCCCGAAGTGCAAGGATCGTTTGAGTGTTTAGGGGGTCCTGTAACATTAAAGAATTGGAGCACAATATTCCATCTTGCTGCTGCACCTGTCGAGCCAGATCGATATGCGAGGGCCTCTGGGCCCGAATCTGGGTGAAAACGCGCAGTGCATTTTTTGCACAAAAAAAGGCGACTCCAGGATCTCAGAGCTTTCCCCCTGAGCCAGTCCCCCCACTGAGTTCCCCCCGTTCCCAGACCTCCAACGTCTTGATTTTTCGACCATGTGGTTCCCATTTGCTGTATGTAGATCCCTGCCCAGGTGACGACTTTTCGTCCTGAGCAGTCTCTTATGGCCCCAGGGACCTGTAAGAGACACCAGGGAGGGGGAAATGTATTAAACCCTCCCGTCGTGATTGCTGTCGCAACGCGAAGAGGTCCCCATCTGCCGACATGTTTGTTCCATTCCGCGGCCTTCCAAGGTCTGACCATTTCCCCAAGGGGGTACGTTTTCCATCCCAGACCCAATTGATTCTGATGTCCCCACGGCCCGATCACGGGCCCAAGAGGCCGGAAGCGAGGGAAACCGCCGGGATCGCAGAACGCCCGTCCTCGAAGATCTGGAAAGAGGCCCGGGCCTCGCCGGCCCCTCACAGAGGAGCTGCCGGCCGAGGACCTGGTGCTGTACCTCGACGCCGCGGACACGCTCGTGCAGCGCGGGGGCGCGGCGGAGCTCCAGGCGGCGTGGTCCGCGCTGGTGGCCCGGGCCGCGGGCGCGGGCGCGCAGTGGTCCGCCGGCTGGGAGCCCGTGGTCTTCGCCGGGCAGGGGCACCGCGCTGGCCACGAAGCAAGCCTCGGCATCCTCGCGCCGTGGAGCGAAAGCACGACGGAAGGGTTTGCGATGTTCGTGTCGGCCTCTGGCAGCCCCCGCCGAGTGCTGGGGCAATCAAGCGGCCATCGGGAACGAAGGACCAGTGCTTCTGGGGAGTGGTCCAGATGTTTGTTAGCTACGCCGTGTTGAATAAATCGAGACGTCTCAAAGGAGGAAACAAAAAAACCTACCCCCATAACTGGCGTTTAGCAAGCCGTCCTGGGCTGTTACTGAACAGCCCTGCCCTGTTCGATTCCGTCTTTGGGTGCGTTTACTGAATGGCGTCGCTTGTCGGGGTGCTTATACTGAGGGTTGAATGTTTTGCCCTTCGGCGTCGGAGGTCTGAGAACGGGTCTGAGAACGGCTCCTCAGGTTTTCCGCCGCTGGCCCCGCGGGACCGTCGCGAGGCGGCTCCGGACGAGGAGCTGGTCCCAGGGAAGACCATGGGATCAGGGTACTTCGGCCACGCGCGGAGGGGGATAGGGGGAGAGGGAAGGCTTCTTCGAAGCACCCCTGCTTTTTAGAAGGCGCGGACCTTGTCTGTAGATGTAAGGCTGGCGCTTTCTGAGAAGCAGCCTCCTTCTAAGAAGCCTTCCCCCCTCCCCTTACCCTTGGTGCGCGCCGCTCAGTAAAGCAATCCTAGATTTCCGACGACGTGTGTTCTCCAAGCGCGGCGTTTTTCTTCGATTTCGGCCGGGGCCATTGTCGGGCCAGGCGAAAGGGCAGGATAGGGCAAGGGGGGGTACGAAATTTGTTGCATGCAGGTGGTTTCCGCCCCGCCGCTGGGCCCATTCCTCCATAGATCGACGCCTCCCAGTGCCAGGAGGCATCAGGAAGCCAAGCTACGTGAGCTGACTCTCTACTCTGCCCTTTGCTATCTTGCCCTGTCGTCCCCCCTGACATCTGACCGTCAGAGATGGATCCGCGACGAAAATCTAGGCCTCCCAGCGCGCCGCATCTCCAATGCATCGGCGATGGGACTCGATGTGGAGCCTGATTTTCTCCACGCCGACTGCGCCGATGCATCGCTCGCCGACGTCACCGGCGCATCGCGAATGCATCGGCGATGCATCGGCATCGGAGATGCGGCGCGATCTTCCGATCCGTCCGACCCCGTCTAGGAGGCCTCTAGGAAAACTACCCCATGGGAAGGGGCACTGCGGGTCCTCAGGGAATGGGGGTGTTTCGGCGGTTTGGGCCTCTCGGGGGCTCTCTACGGGCACTAGGTCCGTCAAGAAACGGGTCGGTCCTGGGGAAGACCCCAGCCAGGCTTCAGGGACCAGTTCCTGCGGGACCCGTTTCCTTCCAAGACCCCCGGCGACACTGTTCTGTTCGCAGCGTCACCCCCCTGCGGAGGTCTCGACCCATTCCCTGGGAGTAGTTCTTCGTCCTGAGCTGTTTTTTGTCGGTCGCGGGAAGGCCCCCAGAGGCCGAAAGTTGCCCCCCCCCAGTCACACACAAAAAAACAAACAAAAAAAACAAAAAAAAAAAAAAAAAAAAAAAAACGTCCGTCGTGTTTTTTCTTCCACGTCGCGAGGGGGTCCGGGCTCATGCTGAGGCACTGCTACCCGTTCGAGCAGTGGGCCCGCGCGAACCTCGACGACGGCGGGGAACCAGCTGTGGAGCGCGCGCCCAGGTTTCAGGCGCAAGGGGGCGATACAGTCGACCCGCATAGTCAGGATGAGCGTCGTGCCAAGGCTACCCCCTGCATCCACGCGTCCCCTGCCCATCCTGGGCCGCTTTCGCTGGCCGCGCCCCGCCCGCAAAGTGTCGGCATGGCTTTCCAAGGCCCTTGCATCCTTACCGTGCATCCTTGTAATACGGGTTGACTGTAGGCTCGGGGGGGGCGCATCGACCCCCAATCGCCCAAGCATCGCCCGATCGGGGCCCGATAGCCCGCCCCCGCCAGGGAACGTGCGGATTCGCCATCGAGGGCCTATCGCCGAGGCGATGCGTCGCCGATTCGAGCTCGATGTTCCCCCCCCCTGGGCTGGCCCCCCCCTGACGTCGCCCCTCGAGGTTCGAGCGCGCCTGGGGCCGTGCCTCCAGGGCCGGGCCGCTGCTGGCGGGCGCCGCGGAGGTGTGCGCGGAGGTCCGGGGTCCCGGCACGCTGCCGTTTGCGGACACCGGGACATGGCTCTCGCCATGGAGGGAAGTCCCCCAGACCTCCTCACAGGACCCCAGAATTCTTCGACCTTCGAGGTTCGAGGTCTTCTGAAGTTTTGGTCGGTCGCGTGCTTTCCAGCAGCTGCGCCTCACCGAGAGCATGTACATATTATGTATAGTTCGTGTACACCCATACACGTGGGTATGCGTTACACGCACACACAAACACTAAGAAGTTCACACATACACAACACACACACACACGTATATACGTATACACGCATCGAATATGCTTACGACGTACATACGTATATACGCATCGAAGATGCCTACGGCGAATCACCGCCGCCCCCTGCCTTCTAGAGTCGCCCATGTGGCCGAGCGTTGTGGCAAGAGCTCCGCCAAGCTATCGGACCATGTGTTCCCCCAACCGTTGTGCAAACCCTTCGGGGAACACTTGGGGGAGGATGGCGGGGAAGATCAGGAGGAGGTGGAGGAGGAGAAGGAGGAGGAGGAGGGGGCATCTTGGGAGCCTCTGGGGACACTCTTGGGGCCTCCTGGGAGCTTCCTGGGAGCCTCTTGTAGGCATCTTGGGGGCCTCCTTGGGCCTCGTGGGGGCCTTTGGAGGCTTCTCAGGGGCCTCTTTGGCCGTCTTGGTGGGCTCCTGGCCGAAAAGAAGCACATGACAAAATCCTTCAAAAACCTTAGGGGAATCAATGATTTGGGACTCTTCGGGCCTTCCTGGAGGCCCTCTTGGAGGCCCCTTGGGCAGTCTTGGGCCATGTTAGGGCCATCTTGGGCCATCTTGGTGGGCTCCTGGCTCGTCTGACGCCGTCGAAAGCCGTTTTGGGGGCTCTATGGGCCGACTTGGACCCCTCTTGGAATGCTCCAGGGCCGTCTTGGGCGTCTTAGAGGCATCTTGGGCCGTCTTTGTGCCGTCTTGGGGGCCTCTTGGGCCGTTGGATGCCTATTGGGCGATCTGGGGGCGATCTTTATGGGATCTTGGGCCATCTCGGGCCGTCGGAAGGCCGGAAAGAAGCAAATGCAGAAATCCGTCAAAAATCAAAGGATAATCAATACTTTGGGACTCTTCTGGCCTTCCTGGAAGCCCTCTCTGGGGCCGTTTTGGGCCATCTTAGAGCCATCTTGGGCCGTCTAGGTGGGCTCCTGGCCGTCTGACGCCGTCGGAAGCCGTCTTGGGTGCCTCTCTGGGCCGATTTGGGGCCCTCTCGGGGTGCTCCAGGGCAGTCTTAGAGGCTTCCTTGGGCGTCTTGGACGCCTCTTGGGCCGTCTTTGGACCTCTTAGGGCCGTCTTGGGGGCCTCTTGGGCAGTCCTGAGGCCATCTTGGAGGCCTCTTGGGCGCTCTGGGGGCGATCTTGGGGGCCTCTTGGGCCGACTTGGACCGTCGGAAAGCCGAAAAGGCGCAAATCCCAAAATCCTTCAAAAACCTAGAGGGAGATCAATGGTTTGGGCCTCTTTGGGCCCTCCTGAAGAACCTATTGGACACCTCTTGGGCCGTCTGGGAGGCCTCTTCGATCGTCTTGGAGATTTCTGGGCTGAATTTGGAGGCATCTTGGACTCTCTTTGGCAGTCTTGGAGGTCATCTTGGCCCATCTTGAACGCACTTGAGGGCCATCGTAGCCATCTTGGAGGCCATCTTGGACCATCTTGGAGCCGTCTGCAGCAGGAAAACCCTTGCAACCACATCTTATGCACCCTTTCGGGTGGCCAGCGGGCTGGGCCGGAGCCCCAGGGGAGAGTTCTTTTGAAAAAACAACCAGAACCAAATCCGAAAGGGCCTAGCACGCCCGGCACCCCTGTGGCAAGCCAACAGTGGGCGGCGGATCGAAGATGCCTACGTCGAATCACCGCCGCCCCCTGCCTTCCAGAATCGCCCATGTGGCCGAGCGTTGTGGCAAGAGCTCTTCCAAGCAATCGGACCATGTGTTCCCCCAGCCGTTGTGCAAACCCTTCGGGGAACACGCGGGGGAGGATGGCGGGGAAGATCAGGAGGAGGTGGAGGAGGAGGAGGTGGAGGAGGAGGAGGAGCAGGAGAAGGACGAGGAGGAGGAGGCTTCTTTGGAGCCTCTTGGAGGCATCTTGGGGACCTTCTTGGAGGCCTCTTGGGGGCCTTCGGGGACTTCTCGGGCGGGGGCCTCTTTGGCCATCTTGGTGGGCTCCTAGCCCGTCTGACGCCGTCGGAAATCGTCTTGGGGGCCACTCTGGGCCGACTTGGGGCCCTCTTGGGGTGCTCCAGGGCAGTCTTGGAGGCTTCCTTGGGCGTCTTAGAGGCCTCCTGGGCCGTCTTGGGGCCCTCTTGAGGCCGTCTTGGGGACCTCTTGGGCCGTCATGGGGCCATCTTGGAAGCCTCTGGGGCGATCTTGGGGGCCTCTTGGGCCGTCTGGGGCCGTCGGAAGGCCGAAAAGAAGCAAGCGCCAAAATCTTTCAAAAAACCTAAGGGGAATCAATGATTTGGGACTCTTCGGGCTTTCCTGGGCTCTCTTGGAGGCCTCTTGGGCCGTCTTGGGCCGTCTTAGGGCCATCTTCGGCCGTCTTGGTGGGCTCCTGGCCCGTCTGACGCCGTCGGAAGCCGTCTTGGGGGCCTCTCTAGGCCGACTCGGGGTCCTCTTGGAATACTCTAGGGCCGTCTTGGAAACTGTCTTGGGCGTCTTGGAGGCCTCTTGGGCCGTCTTTGGGCCCTCTTGGGGCCGCCTTGGGGGCCTATTGGGCCGTTATGCGGTCATCTTGGAGGCCTTTTGGGCGATCTTTGGGGGCTCGTGGGCCGTCCCAGGCCGTCGGAAGGCCGAAAAGAAGCAAATGCCAAAATCCTTCAACAAATCAGGAACATACATGATTTGGGCATCTTCGGGCCTTCCTGGGGGCTCTCTTGGAGGCCTCTTAGGCCATCTGAGAGCCATCTTGGGCCGTCTTGGGGGCCTCTCTGGGCAGACTTAGGGCCTTCTTGGGGTGCTCCAGGGCAGTCTTGGAGGCTTCCTTGGGCGTCTTAGAGGCCTCCTGGGCCGTTTTGGGGCACTCTTGGGGCCGTCCTGGGGACCTCTTGGGCCATCATGGGGCCATCTTGGAGGCCTCTGGGGCGATCTTGGGGCCACCTTGGGGGCCTCTTGGGCCGTCTGGGGCCGTCGGAAGGCCGAAGAGGCGCAAATCCCCAAATCTGTCAAAAACCTAAGGGGAATCAATGATTTCGGCCTCTTCGGGCCTTTCTGGAGGACCTCTTGGAGGCGTCTTGGGGGGCTCTTGGGGGCCTCTTGGGCCGTCTTGAACCATCTTGAGGCTATCTTAGGCCGTCTTGGAGGCATCTTGGGCCATCTTGGAGGCATCTTGGGGTCATCTGAGCCGTCTTGGAGGCCATGTTGGCCGACTTGGAGGCCATCTTGGGCCGTCTTGGAGCAGTCTGTGGCCGGCGGGACGGGCCGAAGCCCCAGGGGGAGTTCTCTTGGAAAAGGAACCAAGACCAAAACCGCACGCGAGGCACCCCTGCGATGAATCGACAGGGGGCGGCGGATATCCACTGGCCTTCGGCCTATCCCGCCACCGTGTCTGGGTTGTGGGTTAGAGGCCTCTTGAATATTCGTTTGGACATCGCGGGAGGCCTTTTGGAGGCAGTTTGAAGCCTCTTGGAGGCCGTTTGGGGGCATTGGGGCACTTTTGTTCTTCCTCTTGGGGGCATCGTGGGGCCTCTAGGGGTGCTCTTGGGATCTCTTGGGGACCTCCTGGAGGCCTCTTCTTGGGGCGGAAGGCTCGAATTGTCAGTCGTGTTCCCCATCTGGGGCTCCTCTTGGGGCCGTTTTGGAGCCCTCTTGGGCGATCTTTGGCGTTTCTTGGGCCGTTTGGGTGCCCTCTTGGACCGTCTTGGGGCCTTCCTGGGAGCCTTTTGGGCTGTGTTTGGGCGGTCTTGGAGGCTTCTGGGGCCGTCTTGGACTTTGGAGCCTCTTGGGCCGTCTTGGGCGTCTTGGAGCGTTCTTGGGCTGTCTTGGAGGCTTCTTCACCCTCTTGGGCGCTTTCTGGGGCCCTCTTGGCCAGTTTTGGGGCCCTCTGCTGGCTTCTGGAGGAGTCATGTGGGGCAGCCTAGGAACGCGCGGGAACGCCCAGGGAATTTGAGATTTTGGGGCCCCAGCCCTGGGAATATTATAATCCCAGAGTCTTGAGCACAGAGAACAGAGGACACATGAGGACCTGGAGAAAACTCCACTTCGCGCCTCGCTGCCCGGTGGCGGGCCGTCCTGGGATTCTCTTGGAGGCCTCTTGGGCCGTCTTGGGGAGATATCGGGAGCCTCTTGGGCCATCTTGGACGTTGTCAGAGCCGGGGAAACGAATATGCTAAAAATGCACGTTTCCCGAAAGGAATTTGAAGATTGTTGCCTCTTGGCGGAGCCTCTTGGGGGCCCTTTGGGGGGCCCCTTGGGCCGTTTTCAAGCCTCTCTGGTCCTCCTCTGGTCGTGAAGAAGCCGTCTTGGGCTCTCGTAGCGCTCTCGGGCCATCTCGGGGTCGTTTCGGGCCTTCCTGAGGCCGTCTGGGAAGTGCATGTTTGCCGTCCGGGGAGCCCGAGGTAAGCCCCGGGGCGCTCTCGTATAGGGTTCCCGGGGGCTGTCGGAACGCACTGTGGAGCTCTCTTGGGGGCCTCTTCGGCCTCGCAGGGGGGGCCGTAGGCGTATACCTCCCACCCCTCGGCGAGGAGGGGTGACGGTGACATGCCGTTGTTTTTTCCTCTTTTATTTCATAGGTCGAAGGAATATGCGCATATGTGTATACATGTTTGTACACTTGGGCCCTGGGGCCGTCAGAAAACAGTTCGGGACGAGAGACCAGTCCCAGAGAAGAGGCCGACGGTGTGGCAAAATCACGACGTCGGGGATTTGGGAACGGGTCCTGAGGAAAACAGGTCCTGAGGTTCTCTTCGTTTTTGGCGTCCTGGTGCCCTCCACGGGCCTGGGGACTGAAAACGGTTCGGAACTAAAAGTTGGTCTTGGAGGAGGGCCCTGTGGTCCAGGACCCGTTGTCCTCAGGACCCGCTTGCTTTACGCCAAGGCTCGGCCGCGTGCGCAGCGCCCGCCGGCTCTTCGGCGTCATGGCCGCCGTGGCCGTGGCAGATCGGAGGCCGCGACCCGGGGCGAGCAGCTCAGGAGGAGCACGCGTGCGCGCTCGCTCTCGTGGTCCTCGAGCCTCGGTCTGGGCAGCGGGGCGAGTGTCGCCTGAGGCGGTCGCGGAGCACCCCGTCCTGGGACCGTCTGCGGAAAGCATACGAGTAGACACGGCCTCGCGGGCCGGGACCTTTGTGCCGCGACCTTGTGGATGCGGGGCGTTCGCTTGTGATCAGCTGCACGCCCTCGTCGCAGCCTCCGAGCAGAAAAGGCCAGCGACTGCATGCAGGTGCTGAAGCTTGTCCAGACCTGGTTCCCTGGCCTCGCGGTCGTGGACACCGAAGCCGAGCTGTTCTGGACCACCGAGACCGAGCTGGCCGCCAGGGAGGGCTACGGCGTCTCCGAGCAGCACCCCCGCGTGCAGAGGACGAAGGCGAAGACGGCTAGGCTTCAGATGAAGAACATCTACCGATCCCGCTACCCTTCCTGCGCTTTTCCCTAATAGCGTTTTGCGAGAGGGTTTGAGCACGTAGACGTAATACAAAAAAACACCGAAGATTCTCACACGGGGGGGCAGGGAGCCCCAGGCGACCCAGTCTGGCAACCGTTCGCCTGAAACTTCATCACAATTGATTTGGGAATCGTGTCTTCGCTTCAGTGCCAGCTATAACTTTGACCCGGACGACCACGATCTTCTTACAAAAAAACACTATTTGGGGTGGTGCACATGGCCGTGCCCTAACCTTGTCCCGGCTGCATCTTTCCTAGGACTACCTAGGAATGTATTTGTTCATTCGCGGACCTCCTACTCCTCGACGCGCCTCTGCACGCTGGATGTCTGTGAAGGCGCTTTGCTGGGGTGGTCGCCTTTGGGGGCCTCCTGGGAGGTCCTCGTCCCCACGGCTGGATTCGCATCGAAATCGTAGTCAGAACGCACCCCGGGAGAGGTCCGGGGTGTAGCGGTATCGGTAAATTCTGGCTTCCCACAGGCTGCTCTGCAGCAGCGGCTCACCAACCCTCGAGGGCTACTGGGGCGACGGGTGCTCGCCGCCCATCCGAGGGCGAAAGAATTGCACAAACAGAAACTTTCGGAGCTCCGCTCGAATCTCTGGGGTCGACGCTGAACCCCCATGGCGGCGCCTTCGGCGCCGCCCTGGAGCTCCAAAAGTTTCCAGCCGCAGAAGAAACGGAACGGGGTCGATTGCGCACGTGAGTTTCCCGCGTAAGGTCGGTCGTAAGCGCCATCATCTTCACGCGGTGTGCCACGCCTGCCGTGTGTTCCACATTCTTCTTCTCTCCCCTATATGTCTGACGTGTTGCGCAGCAGCTGAAAGGTAGGTTTTGGCTCAAGCAGTCTTGGGCTCATGGCGTCCGCGTCGGACAGCTCAGGGATGTGAGGTACCCCGTTGCTTGGCCCCGTGCTTAAGAAACATCTCTGCCACTCCCCCCTTATGTTTTCCATCTATGCCGACACGCTGGCGGCCCGCGTAAGCTGCAATGTAAGGTCGTTGCGTCTTCTTGCGTGATACTTGCTCATTTTCGTCGCTCAGGTGCTCGCCTCCCATGCTGCTGGGCACGAAGTCGGTGCCCTTCGTCCTACACCACGCCGGGCCGTCCAAGGCGACGCTGGGCAGGCGGTGCACCGCGGCGTACGCGATGGAGTTCGTTGCCAAGTCCGACGCCTGGGAGGTTCACGATCTCGATGCCGGGACCTCGGTGCGGCTGCACCTGGGCTCGGCTGGCCCGTTGGCGCAGGGGCTGCAGCAGTACCGCGGGAACTGGACAGGCGCGGGGGGGGACGCCAGCCGCAGACCTCCGACAAGATGATTTTTGTCAATTGGCGGTGCTGCTCAGATTTCGACCTGTGGTCCGCCTCGAGGATCCTCAGGACATGTGTTGGCCCAATGTGTGTGTACCCCGTTCAGCCCCGCCGGTAGATCGTTACGTCGCCTGCGTCGTCTTGAATGGTCTCGGTGGACAGACGCGCTTCAGCCATGCGCAGAGGGGGGTAGGGGGAAGGGGGAAGGGTTCTTAGAATCACCCCTGCTTCTCAGAAGGCGCGGGACCTTTCTCCATGGATGTACGGCCAGGTCCTTCTAAGAAGCAGCCTCCTTCCAAAAAGCCTTCCCCCTCCCCCATACCCCCCTGTGCGCGCCATCAAACGTTGGCGCTGACACACGTTCTGAGGATCATGGACCGTTCTCGGGCCCCGGAACCATCCGAAACGGGTCCGGGACGACGGGCTCCCCCCCCGGGGAGCGGTCGGGGCTTCCTGTGGCCGCGGATCGACCAAAACCAGGTCGGCGGGCGTCGGGGCCGTGCACCGGCGCTGGCCGGGCCAGTCCAGCTCTGGGTCCCAGGATCGGTGCAGACGCCCGCCGCGCCGTGGAGGCGTGCCCGGTGCGCCGGCGTCGTGGTCTCTCAAGGCAGGAGTCCACGGCGTCCTGGTTTGTCCCAAGCCAGAGACCCCCTCGGCAGAAGGTTTTTCCATAGGTTCGGCCTCTGGGAGCCGTTGCCAGGCCTCGGGGCCGTCCAAAAGCGGCCCGGGATGACAAACGTCCCCCAGGGAAGAGGTCGAGTCTTTTGAGGGTCGACGTGAGGAGAAAAGCATGACGTCGGGGTCTGGGCATGCAGGGGTCCCCGGATGTCTCGGCCCCTTCCCAGGATTGGTTCTTGTCCAAGATAGGGTTGCAGATGGCGTCTTCAAGACTTGGCGGCTCGCACAAGGGGGTAATGATAGGGGGGCGCCTTCTAAGAAGGCAGGGAGATTCTTTTGTCAAAAAGCAGGGGGGGGTCTGAGGAGCCATCCTGGCTTCGGGGAGGCCTGCTTAGAAGCTTCTGGGCCTTTTCTGACAAGGCCCCCGCCTTCTAAGAAGCAACCCGCTTTCGTAGAAGGCCGCCCCCCTCGCGCCACCCCCTTGCGCGCTGATAAGATGATATGTGCCACAAGAGGCTATCCCACTTTACGGGATAAAGGGTGTTCCAAAAGATGCGATCCCCTTTTCACGGATAGATATTGCGCCACAAGATGCTACCCCATGATGTGGGACAAGGGTTGTGCGATGGGTAGACGTGCTGACTCACAGCGATGAGGAGCCCTCCTCAATAATCGGGCTTCCCAGGCATTGCAGGTCTGCGTATGCACCGATCCTGGGCCAAGGACCGTCCCGGCCAAGGACCAGTGCCCTTGTGTGCAGCCGGCGCCCTCCCCAGGCGGCCAGCGGTGCGGGGGGCTCGATGGCCGCCATTAAAAAGAGGTGCGGCGATTTCGCTGACATCGATTCCTGTACCCGTCCAGGGCTCGGAGAGGATGGTGCGAGCGGGAGTGGTCGGAGGGGGTCTGGCGCCCAGGTCCGCTGAGCCAGCGGACCATGGAACGAACCCAGTATCTGTGCAGCAGCGGTCCCCTCCTCGCTCCACTGCCTCCCTCTGCAGCCGTGCTGGTCCGAAAGCCGAGGCCGGCAGGCCCATGGACGGCGGGGCCCTCGCGCCACAGGGCCTCCAGTCGGAGGACGGAGGTCTCGAGGCGTGGGCCCGATGGGTGCGCAGCGGCCTGCGCCTGCCGCTGGCGGCGTGGCTGCTGGGCACCTCCTGGGTCTTCGGGCCGCAGAACTCGTGGGTGGCCTGGGGCGGCCTCGGCCACGGTGTGCTGCCGTGCGAGCTGCAGAGGCTGGCGGGCTGGGCGGCAGGCTCGCTGCTGACGCTGCTGTGGGCCGCCAGGCTGTGCTGCGTCGTGCCTGCCCTGCAGCAGCGGGCGATGCTGTTCCCGCCCTGCAGCGTGCTGGTGTTCGCGCGGCGAGGGGCGCCAGAGGTCGGCTCCGTGGTCTACTTCGACGCCTCGGACGGCCTATGCTACGTCCGCAGAGTCGAGGCGGTCTTCACCGAGAGCTCGGCTGCGGGGCCGATCGTGTCCGTGAAGACGGTGGGCGACATGCCGGGTGCGCCGGACGACCGTCCGCTATACAGCGAGGACGGGACGGCCTCGAGCCTCGCCCTGCGCCACGTGAGGGGCACCCTGGTGGCTGGCCCGTATCCCCTCGCAAGTGTGTTTGTTGCTGGTGCAGTCTGTCTGATGGTGAAGGAGAAAGAACTGCACATACACCATTGGTCGAAGGTCCGCGCGGATTTCTTGGATCTGGGTTGGGCCCCTTGGCGGCGCCTCCGGCGCCGCCCCTGGCGCGCTCCGTGCGCCAGGGAGGGGAATCCAGCGCCGACACAAGAAATTCTCGCGGACCTCCGAAAGTTAATATTAATGCAGTCTTTTCTTATCCGTAAAGGCGTCGCCCCCTGCCGCCGGCTCCCTCTCTATCAGAATGGGATATATCAGAGTCGCGTCGGTGCGTCTCGGCGCTGCTTTGGCGCATCTGGGAACCTCATGCGGGGGCGGATAGGAATCATCAGCGCATTTTGCAACTTGGCGTTATCGAAGACGCCTACGGCGACTCACCGCCGCCTCCTGCCTTTTTTTGGAAGCGCCCATGTGGCCGAATGTTGAGGCCAGACCTGCCAAGCTATCGGACCACGTGTTTCCCGAATCGGTTTGGAAAGCCTTCGGGGAACACGTGGGCATCTTGAAGGTCATCTTGGCCGCCTGGAGGCCATTTTGACCCTTTCGGGCCTTCTTGAAGGACGTCTTGGAGGGCTCTTGGGCCGTCTTGGAGGCCATCTTGAGCGTCTTGGAGGCCCCGTGGGCCGTCTTAGGGGCCTCTTGGGGCCGTCTTGGGCCTTTTAAGCGATCTTCGATCTTTGGGGGCACTTGGGTCGTCGGAAGGCCGGAAAAGAGCAAACGCCACAATCCTTCAAAAACTCATGGAAATCAATGATTTGGGCCTTTTCGGGCCTTCCTGGAGGCCCTCTTGGAGGCCTCTTGGGCCATCTTGGTGCCATCATCGGCCGTCTTGGTGGGCCCCTGGCCTGTCCGACGCCGTCGGAAACCGTTTGGGTGGCCTCGCTGAGCCGACTTGGGGCCCTCTTGGAATGCTCCAGGGCCGTCTTGGAGGCCATCTTGGGCGTCTTAAAAGCCTCCTGGGCCGGGCCGTCTTGGGGGCCTCTTGGCCCGTTCTGGGGCCATCTTCGAGGCCTCTTGGGCGATCTTTGGACGATCTTTGGGGGCACTTGGGCCGTCTCGGGCCGTCGGAAGGCCGAAACGAAGCAAATGTCAAATCCTTCAAAAACCCATTGGGAAATCAATGAATTTGGCCTTTTCGGGCCTTCCTGGAGGCCCTCTTGGAGGCGATCGTGGGGGCCTCTGGGGCCGTCTTAAGCCGTAGGAATGCCGAGAAGAAGCAAATTCCAAAATCCTTCAAAAACCTATGGAAAATCATTGATTCTGGCCTCTTCGGGCCCTCCTGGAGGACCTCTTGGAGGCCTCTTGGGCCGTCTGGGAGGCCTCTGGGGGGCCTCTTGGGCCGTCTTGGGCCGTCTTCGACTCTCTTGGGCCGTCTTGGAGGCCGTCTTGGACCATCTTGGGCGGACTTGGAGGCCATGTTGGGCCATCTTCGCGATTATTTGAGGATGTCCCGAGCGAAACGGCCGTTTCAGGGAGGATGTTTTCCGGAGTTTGTGCGCGTGGAAGGGCCTCCCGGGACCCCGGCGGGACGGGCCGAAACCCATTGGGAGAGTTCTTTTGGAAAAAGAACCAAAACCGAAATCGTCAAGCACGCCAGGCACCCCTGCGATGAATCGACAGGGGGCGGCGGATCCTAGTGGCCTTTGGCCCATCCCGCCACCGTGCCTGGGTTGTGGGTCTGAGGCCTCTTGTATGTGTTGGGGTGCCGTGGGGAGCTTCTGGGGGCCTCTTGGAGGCGGTTTGGGCGCCTATTGGGTGCCTATTGGGGCCTCGTGAGATATTTGTTGGGCCTCTTGGAGGCCTCCTGGGCGCGTCTTTGGCGCCTGTTGGGGCCTCTTGGGGCCTCGTGGCGGCCTCTTGGTCCTGGGGCCTCCTGGGGGCCTCTCGGGCCACACATATAAAATTGTCGGTTCGTGGTCCCCTGCTTGGGCCCCTCTTGGGGCCGTCTTGGGGTCCTATTGGGCTGTCTTGAGCGCTTCTTGAGCCATCTTGGAGCCCTCTTGGGCCGTCTTCGGGCCCTCTTGGAAGCCTCTTGGGCTGTCTTGGGGCAGTCTTGGTGAGCAGTGTTAGAGCGTCGGAAAGCCGAACATGCGAGAACCGTTAAAAAATCAGCGATGTGGGCCTCTTGGGGCTCTCTCCTCGGGAGCGCTCTTGGAGCGCTCTTGGGACCCTCTTGGGCCGTCTTGGAACCATCTTCGGGCGCCTTGGAGCACTCTTGGCCTCGGCAGTGCGAATATGATGTAATTTGCAAGGGTTTGTGGCCTTGGGGGCGCGAACCTTGTGTAATTTACGAAGGATTATGGCTTCGGGGGCGGCGCGAATCTCATGACGTGTCCCACGCCCCCCCTGGAATTCAGACAACGCGATCCGGGCGTGGTAACCGGACGGTTTGGGGCTCCTCCCCCTCGCGCAGACTTCAGCAGTTTACAGTAGGAAGCAGAAAGCAGGATTGCAACATTGGAGACTTGAAACTGCAACTGGTGCAGGGAGCAGCACACTTCGTCCTACAGCCCGGTGACCTCACAAGGGGGCCGGCGGATTCCGTGATATTGTTTCCGACGGCCCTCTTCTGTTTCCTCGCTACCCACCAGCCCACCATGGTGGTGTTCTCGGTCTTCCTTCTGCACCTCTGCTTCGTGCTCGTGTGCAGCCCCCGGGGCTAGATAGCCGGTCAACAGGGGGGGACTGGAGCCGGCAGATGCCCCGCCTCGCAACGA